CTGATACGAAACTCTCTACAAATACATGTTAAAAACACACACACACACATATATATATATATATATATATATATATATATATATATATATCCTTCCGCACCGTGCTTATATGCTTTATTAATAGCCACCATTTATGTGAAAATACATATTCGTGTATATATATGCACATATATTAAATTAAATATCATAAAGTTCCAAAAAATTAGTGGAAACTTTTATTCATAGATACCATGCAATAAATATTTGTTACACTGACTGCAGTGGCCTCAGCATCTGAAATCCAAGACTAAATTTGATAGCTAGAAATAATTGGGTCTCCATTAGCCAAGTATATAATGAACACAGCTGGCCAGCATCTGTGGGGACAAGAAAAGTAGGATTTGGCTTTCTTTATACAGATAGACCAAAGGACACAAACTTTCTGCTCTAACAGGTCTAAGTCAATCAGTACTTCCAATCCCAACGGGCCATGAGCAGACCCAACTTTTCTTTAAGTTATTCCTCTTTCTTTTAAAATTCTGAATCTACATATTCCTTTTCAGGCCCAAAAGACCCTTTTCCATAAAGCCTTTCAACTGTGAGGGCCCCTAGTGATGGCTTCCTTTCATGACCCAAGAGAGGATTTGGTTCAGGTGGTTACTGGACATTTGGCATACGTCATTGTATCTTTTTATCTCTATGCATGTATATTGAATTTCCTTTAGACTCTGAACACCTTCAGGGGAGCTGTCGCTCACTGGTAGACAGATCTACATTCAAGTCTACTACTAGTTAGAAACTATATGTTTCCATGTAACCCTGCTTACTTTGTTAAACTTCTATAAGCCTCCTCTATAAAATGAAGACAATAAAACCTAATTCATGGGGTTGTTGTGTTTACTGAATCAACAACATGCCAGAAACTGCCTGTCCCAGAATCTGATACCTGTGAACATCAGATGTGAATAGTGTTGACCCCCAGGTTCTAACAGAGTGATTTGCAAAAAGGAAGTCATCAGTATGTATTTATTTATGATAGCATAGTTTTAAAATTTTTTCTAATACTTATACATGACAATAGAATGCATTTTGACTCATTGTTCACAAATGGAGCACAACTTTTCATTTCTCTGGTTGTACATGATGCAGAGTCACAACATTCGTGCAATCATACACATACACAGGGTAATAATGTCTGTCTCATTCCACCATCTTTCCCACTCCCTTACCCCCTCCCCTCCCCTCATTCCCCTCTGCACAATCCAAATTTCCTCCATTCTTTCCTTGCCCCCCATTATGAATCAGCATCCACATATCAGAGAAAACATTTGGCCTTTGGTTTGGGGGATTGGTTTATTTTGCTTAGAATGATATCCTCCAACTCCATCCATTTACCTGTGAATGCCATCATTTCATTCTTCTTTAAGGCTGAGTAATATTCATATATATATATATATATATATATATATATATATATATATATATATATATATATCCCCCACAGTTTCTTTATCCATTCATCTATTAAAGGGCATCTAGGTTGGTTCTACGTTTACCTATTGTGAATTGAGCTGCTATAAATATTGATGTGGTTGTGATGCTCTAGTATGCTGATTTTCAGTTCTTTGGAAGTAGACTGAGGAGTGGAATAGCTGAATCAAATGGCGGTTCCATTCCAAGTTTTCTAAGGAATTGCCATACTGCTTTCCAAAGTGGTTGCACCAATTTGGAGTACCACCAGCAATGGTGTAAGTGCCCCTTTCCCCCCACATCCTTGCCAACACTTATTGTTGCTTGTATTCTTGATAATTGCCATTCTGACTGGATGAGATGAAATCTTAGAGTAGTTTTGATTCGTATTTCTCTAATTGCTAGACTTGTTGAACATTTTTTTGTATATTTGTTCATCAATTGTATATCTTTCTCTGTGAAGTGTCTTCTCAGTTTCTTAGCCCATTTATTGATTGGGTTATATTTTTAAAATGAAACCAAATATAAAAGTAATTTTCAAGTGGAGCAAAGCGGTGCATACCTGTAAACCCAGCTACTTGGGAGGCTGAGACAGGAGGATCACAAGTTTAAGGTCAGTCTCAGCTACTTTGTGAAATTCAGTCTCTAAATAAATAAATAAGCCTGTGAATGTGGCTCAATGGTAGGGCATTTATCTAGCCTGTTTAAGGCCCTGGGTTTAAAACCCCCCCCCATACACACACACACACACAATATAGTAATTTTCTAATTGAATAATGCAAGTCAGGCATGATGACCCATGCCTGTAATTCTACTGATGATGGAGTCTGAGGCAGGAGGATCATGAGTTTGAGGTCAGCTTCAGCAACTCAGCAAGGCTCTCAGCAAGTTAGTGAGACCCTGACTCAAAATAAAAAATAAAAATGGCAGAGGATGTAGCTCAGTGGTAGAGAAACTCTGGGTTCAATCCCCAGTATCTCACACACACACAAACACACACACACACACACCAATGCAATAGTAAAATGTCTTGAGAGCAAAATTTAAAGAAAATGTATTGGTACATTATAATACATATAATAATGGAATTCATTATTACATATTCATACATTCAAATAACATAATTTTGTTGATTTCATTCTCTGTTCATTCCCCCCATTTCCCTACCCTCCTCCCTCCCCCTGGTCCCTTTCCTCAATTTTACTGGACTCCCTTCTATTTTCGTGAGATCTTTTCCAACTTCTTTTCCTTTTTTCTCTCTTGCTTCCACATGAGAGAAAACAAGTGACCCTTGACCTTCTGAGTTTGGCTGATTTCCACTTAATATAATGTTCTCAAGTTCTCCATTTTCCTGCAAATGACATAATTGCATTCTTTTTTTATGGTTGAATAAAATTCCATTGAGTGTATATATACCATATTTTCTTTATCCATTCATCCATCAATAGACACCTAAGCTGATTCCATAGTTTGGCTATTGTGAATTGTGCTGCTATAAACATGGGTATGCATGTATAACTGTATTATGAAGACTTCAGTTCTTCAGGGTAAATACTGTGGAGTGGTATATCTGGGTCATATGGTGGTTCCATGTATAATCTTTTGAGGAACCTCTATACTGATTTCCATAGTGGTTGTAATAATTTACAATCTCATCAACAGCAATGTAAATGTTTTCCTTTCTCCCCACATCCTCTCCAGAATTTATTATTGTTTGACCTTTTGATGCCTGCATTTTAACTGGAGTAAATTGAAATCTCAGTGAAAGGTTGATTATATTTCCCTGATTGCTAAAGAAAGATGTTGGACATTTGTTCATATATTTGTTGGCCATTAGTTTCCTTCCTTCCTTCCTTCCTTCCTTCCTTCCTTCCTTCCTTCCTTCCTTCCTTCCTTCCAGGGATTGAACCTAGGAGCACTTAATCACTGAAACAAATCCCCAAAATTTTATTTTTTTAATTTTGAGACAAGGTCTTCCTAAGTTGCTTAGGGCCTTGCTAAGTTGTTGAGGCTAGTTTTGAACTTGAAATCTTCCTGCCTCCCTCTAGAACTGCTAGAATAACAGGTGTGTGCCACACTGTTTTGTTGTTGTTGTTGTTGTGCCTGACACTTCTTTTTTGTTGTTGTTGTTCTCTCTGAACTTTTATTTTATTTATGTGGTGCTGAAGAGGAACCCAGTGCCTCACACATGTAGGCAAACACTCTACCACTGAGCCACAAACCCAGCCCTCTTGACACTTCTTTAGAGAAGTGTCTGTTTAGTTCATTTGCCCACTTATTGATTGGATTATTTGTATTTTTGGTGGTATTTTGAGATATTTATGTTCTGGATATTAATCCCTTGCTGGAGGAATACCTATGAAAGATTTTCTCCCATTCTGTATGTTTCCTCTTCATAAAGTGGAATTTTTTTTAAGAGTCCCCATTCTATATAACAAAATTATTTTCAGAAATAAAAAGAAATTCATAATAATAATCAGAAAAGAAATGCATATACTTTTTTATTTACAAGACGTAAAATATATGTGTAATATATATGCATACACATACTTACATGTTGATAAGAATTAGAATAAAAATAAGAATAAAAAGTAAATATTTTAAGAAAAAAGTAAAGCATTGATACTTTTGAATTGTGTTGATATATTTTTTTTATTTTTACATTTTTACTTTTTTTTTTTTTTTAGTTGTAAGTGAACACAATACCTTAATTTTAATTTTATATGGTGCTGGGGATCAAACCCATTGCCTCACACATGGTAGAGGAACACTCTACCATTGAGCCACAACCCCAGGCCCTTGATGTATTTTCTGACAGAAGGGAAATGTCTATATATTGGTCTGTGGTAGTAATGAATAACATTAAATATTCTGTTTTTAAATATTAGTTTAGAAAAAATTGCCAATGATTTTATTAATTTTGACCTTCCTCACATCTTCATATTGGATAGTATTGCTAGATTTACCAATCCATCTTCAGAATAAATAGCATGTTTTAATAATTTTTACTTGGAAAAGTTATTCATGAAGCAACAGATAAGCTAAGAGTTAGGAAAGCCCTAAACGTGAGGATAAATTTGGCAGAATCATAAAAATCTGATTTAACAAGAAATAGCAGAAATTGTAATACTTTTATGCTTGCCTTTAAGATTAATTCTAGCCAGGTTAATTCTACAAGTTTAATTCTACAGGTGGTGCACACCTGAAATCTAGTTACTTGGTAGGCTGAGGGAGGAGGATCATAAGTTCAAGGCCAGCCTTAGCAACCTAGAGAGAACTTCAGGAGCTGGTAAGACCCTGTCTCAAAATAGAAAGCAAAAAGGACTGAGGGTGTAAATGGTAGTAAAACGACTTGGGTTTGATCCTAAGTACTGAAAAAAAATCCATTGAGATGTTTTCCCCAACAGAAAATTTATCAGAAATTAATTTTTTGTAATTTAGTAAAAACTTCTCAATATTTTTCATCTGTTATATAAATCTGAGAGAATAACTAAATGGTAGTAAATAATGACTTTTTTGATCTATTGCTTTAAAATGGGTGTCCAAAAGGGCGGGGCCCCGGCTGCGCGCCCAATCGGGGTGACGCTTTCGTCTAGCCGGGGACTCGTGGGGTAACTAGCACTACGGAACCAGCACCATGGCGTCGGGCTGCAAGATTGGCCCGTCCATCCTTAACAGCGACCTGGCCAATTTAGGGGCTGAGTGCCTCCGGATGCTAGACTCTGGGGCAGATTATCTGCACCTGGATGTAATGGACGGGCATTTTGTTCCCAACATCACCTTTGGTCACCCTGTGGTAGAAAGCCTCCGAAAGCAGCTAGGCCAGGACCCTTTCTTTGACATGCACATGATGGTGTCTAAGCCGGAACAGTGGGTAAAGCCAATGGCTGTAGCAGGAGCCAATCAATACACCTTTCATCTAGAGGCCACTGAGAACCCAGGGGCTTTGATTAAAGACATCCGGGAAAATGGGATGAAGGTTGGCCTTGCCATCAAACCAGGAACTACAGTTGAGTATTTGGCACCATGGGCTAATCAAATAGATATGGCCTTGGTTACGACAGTGGAACCTGGGTTTGGAGGGCAGAAATTCATGGAAGATATGATGCCACAGGTCCATTGGTTGAGGACCCAGTTCCCATCTTTGGATATAGAGGTCGATGGTGGAGTAGGTCCTGACACTGTCCATAAATGTGCAGAGGCAGGAGCTAACATGATTGTGTCTGGCAGTGCCATTATGAGGAGTGAAGACCCCAGATCTGTCATCAACTTACTAAGAAATGTTTGCTCAGAAGCTGCTCAGAAACGGTCTCTTGATCGATGAAATCATAAGGAATCCAGAGTTTGTGTTCATGAAACCTTTTTACTGGAAAACAGGAATATTGACTACCAAATCATACCAGGTTGAGGCAATGCTGCTTTTCTGAGCAATTATTCATTCCAGTGATTAAAATCTATTGTGCAGAATGTTCTAAGAGGTTAGAAATTGATGTATACAACATTCTTTAGTGATCCAATTTAAAGGTTAGTGTGGTTAAAAAACTGTTCTAAATAGAATTGATTTTTATAAAGAGTGAAAATATGGGCTGTATTAAGGTTACAAAAAAGAAATGTATCATAACGCCTAAAGTGGATAGACATTAGCTAAGCTACTATGAAAAATTTTTTTCCATGTTTTTAAAAATAATGTTCTATTGTTTCACAGCTGTTTTCCAAAAGCAAAGGGAGCCCTTACATTTTTCCTGTTTCACATCATTTGTGATTTGTTTATATGCTTGATAATATGAGTAGTGTGGAGCTAAAAAATACAAGCTTGGGCAGGATGGCATACTGTGGTCTTGGATCTGAACATTTATTTTTCACTTATCACCTTAGATTTGATTAATTAAAAACTGTAAAGGCAATGTCCTATGAAACCCAGGGGTTCTAAAATGCAAGCATAGATTTTTATTGAGATGTTTTCTTTGTGATTCTTTCCTATTCCTGGTTTTCTTAATCTCATTCAGCATTCATAAGGACATTAAATAAATGCTTTTGTATTAGCTCTCCATAGATTAAAAAAAAAAAAAAATGGGTGTCCAGTGCTTGGTATTCAAATGTTGACTTTTTATTTCTTCCACCAATGAAGAACCAGAAAAAAACCCAACTCTTGTGGTTTCTCTTGACATTATTACTCTCTCTTTAATGTAAATGTCTGATTTCCTTACATTTTGTTGTTGTGCAGCCTATGCACAGATTCTCAATGTGCAATTTTTATTTATTTATTTTACTACTGTAGTACTGAGGATTGAACCCAGGGCCTCACACATGCTAGACAAATGTTCTACTACTGAGCTATATCCCCAGCCCTTAATTTTACTTTATTTTCATAGAGAAGCTCAATAAATTGTCCAGACTTACCTTAGTTTTACCATCTCCCTGCACAAGCTTCCCAAGTAGCTGGGATGACAGGCACTTGTTGCTGAGAATTGAACTAAGGGACTCTATACCAATATACACCCCAAGCTCTTTTTATTTATTTTGGGACAAGGTCTTGGTCAATTGGCCAAGCTGGTCTTAAATTCATGATCCTCCCGCCTCAGCTTCCTTAGTATCTGGGATTACAGGCATATGCTACCATGTGCCACTTCAAGGTACAATTTTAAAACTTCACATTTTACTGTGTGTTAGCTAAGTAGACTAAATTCTGGCTGTTTGCAAATATTTATGTATTTGATTAACTTCACCTAAAAATTTTACCCCAGAGGCTAGGGATGCAGCTCTGTGGTAGAGCGCTTGCCTAGCATGCACAAGGTCTTGGGTTCTATCCCCAGTGCCACCAAAAAAAAAATAATAATAATAATAATAACAATAAAAATAATAAGAAGAAGAAAGAAATGAATTAAAAATTTAATACCATAAGGTTTTATCTCAAAATTGTTTTGATCTTTTATTGTTTATTTTGAATATACTATTTATTTTTAGTTGGAGGAAAAACTTCCCAGAGACCTCAAATTATTCCATACCATTACGAATTTACTTTCTTTTTTTTTTTTTTTTAATTTTTTATTGTTGGTTGTTTACGAATTTACTTTCAAAACAAATTCCTATAGCTAAATTCAGTAAGCCAATAGTAGAACTGGAAATTTGCCAATTTAAGTTCCACGTACTATGCAAAGCTATTAAAGAGTTAGCAATAAAAATGTACTAATTAGAAGTGTACCTATGTATTATGGAAATTCAACAGGTGATGAATTGTTCTAAACTTAGATTGTGTTGGTGGCTGCACAACTTTGTAAATATACTTAAAACAACATTGAATATGGGGGCTGGGGCTGGAGCTCAGTGGTAGAATGCTTGTGTAGCATATGTGAGGCACTGAGTTCGATTCTCAGCACCACATAAAAACAAATAAATAAAATGAAGGCATTGTGAAAAAAATTCTTTAAAAAAATTGAATATATGCTTAATTTATTAAGAGATTGAGGTGGTGGGGGCAGTGCTGGTGATCAAAGCCAGGGCAAGTTAAGCATGTGCTCTACCACAGAACTACATCTCAGCCCTGAATTTTTCACTCTAAAAAGGCGATTTTAAATTATGTGAATTATATCTACATAAAGATATAAAAGAAAAGAAAACTAAAGAGAAAGATGCAATGATTGCTTAGGACACAAATTGTGATATATTTTAGGAGATACAAGTGTCACATTACTGACACTGTTTAGAATTGCTGAAAGTTTTACATTCTGTTTCTTCTTTTATTCATTGATTGATTGATTTTTGGTACAAGGGATTGAACTGAGGTCTTGCGCATGCTAGGCAAGCACTCTACCACTGAGTAAGTACATTACTAACCATTTTATTTTGAGACAGGTTCCTGCAATAATGCCCAGGCTGGCCTTTTGTGTGGATCCTCCTGCCTCAGCCTCCCAAGTATCTGGCATTACAGCCATGCCCCACCCTGCCTGGCTTCCTTGTCTTTTGATTACTGTATTAAAAAAAAAAAAATCTACTACATTTTTCAATCAGGTGCATATTAAATAGTAGATGTAATCTGAGCTCTCACCTGGGCATCAAAGTCCTTCATGATACACCCCTAACTTAATTTTCTTATTTTACAATATACTACCCCCCATTCCTGCCTGTTCATATGTTGTCCCCAGCCTATGTCTCCACATTCTAACTTGTGAATCTTTGCTCATGCTATTCCATTTGCATGATGTGCCCTGCCACTCTGTTTTGCTTGTTTCCGTACTAGGGATAGAACTCAGGGTTTTCAACATAGTAGGCAAACTGAGCCATATTCCCAGCCCAACCTCGTTTATTTTTATTTTTATTTTCTCACAATGTCTTTGTTCATCCTTTTATTTTCAAGTTTTCTGAGATCTTTTGATTTGATGCTCTGTGTAGGAAATTTATAATGTGAATGTTCTTTGCTTTATAATTCAGCCTTTTTTATTTTTTTCTTTCTACTGAGACACACAAATCCCCAGTTCTTTTTATTTTTTATTTTGAGACAGGGTCTCTCTAAATCGCTGGGGCTGGCCTCAAATTTGCAATGTTCCTGCCTCAGCCATCTAACTACAGGCATGGGCCACCATGCCAGGTCAGTCTTTTTTTAATAGGTAGGCTTTGGGGATATAAAGGATTAGTTTTAATTCTACCATTTTTTAGTGATTGCTTAGCTTTAGCTTCTTTTTGTTGTTGTTGTTGCTGTACTAGGGAAGGAGCCCAGAGTCTGTACATGGTAGGCAAGAACTCCACTACAAAGCTACATCCCCAGTCCTTTTTCTTTTATTTTAAGGTAGGGTCTTGCTAAGTTGTCCAGGTTGGACTCACAGACTTGTGCTACTATGCCTGATTATATCATTCTTAAATCTCTACAGGGAGCCTTTTATAGTCTGGCCCCAGGATAACAGCACTCATATCCTTACCTTGCAACAGCACCATAGTCATAACTCTGAATAATGTAGTTACCAAATTCTACTCCTTCAGGCTCCAAACTGAGGAGAGAGATCCAAACATACGTTTATGATGCATGCTATGACTGCCCAAATACAAAACCACAGTAATCTAGAGGATTGTGGAATCTAATATTAAATGACATATTCAACTAAGACTTTGTGGTTTCTTTTGAATTTTCTGTTCTACAGTTTTATCTTTACTGCCTCTCTCTCACACTCTCTCTCCCCCTCCACTTTTCCCCTCTCAAGAGTTTATTGTTAGAAATATATGAAAATTATTCCAAGAAGCTTAATGTTCTTAAACCTGTCAGTTGCCTGAGACTTTTTAACACCAGCAGAATAAGGTGATCTTTCCTTTCTAAGGTGTGACGACTTCAGCAGCTGTGGAGCTACAACACCTACATTCACACTAATTTCATCTCATTTTCCTGCAAAAGCAAGAGAAACTGCAAGCCAGACACTGAAAGTTTGCTTTGTTTTAAGGTAGGTGGGATGGTAATGTTAAGATGTGATTCAGTGGTTTCCCATCCTCCACCACAGTGATGGGCTAGGGAGAGTTCAGAAATTCACAACATAGCAGTCATTTATGTAAGTGCATCTTTTATGGGGTGTCAAAGCCTCAAAATCGTGGCTCTTCTTTCCATTTCTATTCAGTTGCCCTCTCCCCATTCTCCAACAGGCAAGCATCAAAACAACACAACTAATCAGGCATGGTGATGCACATCTATAATCCCAACTACTAGGGAGACTGAGGCAGGAGGGTCATGAGTTCAAGGCCAGCATGGGCAACGTAGCAAGATCTTGGCTCCAAAAACAAATCAAACTACAAAACAAAACAAACAGCTGTCCCTTAGCAAACAAAGGCTTCTGCCCAAAGCCTCAAGCTTTTTTTTTTTTTTTTTCCTGGTCAAATGTGCTTTCTCTTAACTGTTTCCCAGACAGGTTTACTCTTTTTTGCTTTGGAGTTTCACACAGTGGGTTCATTCCCTCATTTTTAATCTCTTTTCATTTCTTCCATTTCCTGATAATGACAGAGTGTGTCCCTTTTCCTCAGGATAACAATAGATGGAACCCTGTGACAAATAAAAGCCAAATGAAAAAAGCAAACGAAACCGAACTGGCTCCAGGAGTTGAGGGACACTCATCTGCTCCCCCTACAGTGGAAGGGATTAGGTATGCTTCTTGTTCTGACATCTGGGGCCAACCAGGGTAGTGAATCCAAAATCCCACCCTCTGAGAGACCAACTGTTCAAAAGAGTGCGGGTTGGGGCATTTATGGGAGCAGAAGATATATTGTGGAAAGCCGTGTTCCAGGTTAGTAGAAGGCAGGCAATGCCCAGGCCACGTGCTTGGTCACTTAGAGGCAATGTGTCTCACAGGATTATTTTTTCTCCTTGAAACCTCTGTTTCTGTATATATAAAATGGGGGTTCAAAACAGTATTTCTAGCGGGGCAC